ACGACCAAATTAGCCTCTGATTGGACCATTCTACTGCGACGCCAGTTACATTGAAAATAAAATGTCCTCAGTCTGAAAAAGCAGAAGATGAAATCCCACAAGATTTACATGGTTAACACAACAGAAGGAAATCACTTGATATAAAAAGGAATCGTAAAAAAAAAAAAAAAAAAAATTAATTAAATGACCCCTGAAAAATGTATAACGGACATGATGAGGACGGTTCTCTTTTCTCTAAAAATTAAACTTGAGAAGAAAAAAAATCTGGTCTGTTTTCACATTTATTTGCTTGACAATATGAAAGTATCACTTTGCATCTACTTTGTGTAAAAAAGTAGAATCTCTGAATCAAATGTGGACATCTGAAAATACCTATCAAACTTGCACAAAGCTCATTCCGTCAAATCATCATCGTCCGTTACATAAAATAAACAGGGCCGCTATAGGAAACTTGTCTAATGTAGAAAACAGTTATGTTCTAGCAACTTCTAATGGACAGAGGAGGTGCTTGGAAACATGAAAAACATAAAAAATCTTCTGATTATTAAAATCTAATTTTTGGCCTTTTGTCGCACTTTTGTGCCCTTTAGTGTGAACAAGCCCAGTACACTGTGGAAAAACGGCATATGTGCAGGTGAGAGGGGCCTGGTTGGAATAGTCCACGTGCAGGTGAGAGGGGCCTGGTTGGAATAGTCCATGTGCAGGTGAGAGGGGCCTGGTTGGAATAGTCCACGTGCAGGTGAGAGGGGCCTGGTTGGAATAGTCCATGTGCAGGTGAGAGGGGCCTGGTTGGAAAAGTCTATGTGCAGGTGAGAGGGGAGTGGTTGGAATAGTCCATGTGCAGGTGAGAGGGGCCTGGTTGGAACAGTCCATGTGCAGGTGAGAGGGGCCTGGTTGGAATAGTCCATGTGCAGGTGAGAGGGGAGTGGTTGGAATAGTCCATGTGCAGGTGAGAGGGGCCTGGTTGGAACAGTCCATGTGCAGGTGAGAGGGGCCTGGTTGGAATAGTCCATGTGCAGGTGAGAGGGGCCTGGTTGGAAAAGTCTATGTGCAGGTGAGAGGGGAGTGGTTGGAATAGTCCATGTGCAGGTGAGAGGGGAGTGGTTGGAATAGTCCATGTGCAGGTGAGAGGGGCCTGGTTGGAACAGTCCATGTGCAGGTGAGAGAGGAGTGGTTGGAATAGTCCATGTGCAGGTGAGAGGGGCCTGGTTGGAATAGTCCATGTGCAGGTGAGAGGGGCCTGGTTGGAACAGTCCATGTGCAGGTGAGAGGGGAGTGGTTGGAATAGTCCATGTGCAGGTGAGAGGGGCCTGGTTGGAATAGTCCATGTGCAGGTGAGAGGGGAGTGGTTGGAATAGTCCACGTGCAGGTGAGAGGGGCCTGGTTGGAAAAGTCTATGTGCAGGTGAGAGGGGAGTGGTTGGAATAGTCCATGTGCAGGTGAGAGGGGCCTGGTTGGAATAGTCCATGTGCAGGTGAGAGGGGCCTGGTTGGAACAGTCCATGTGCAGGTGAGAGGGGCCTGGTTGGAACAGTCCATGTGCAGGTGAGAGGGGAGTGGTTGGAACAGTCCATGTGCAGGTGAGAGGGGAGTGGTTGGAAAAGTCCATGTGCAGGTGAGAGGGGCCTGGTTGGAACAGTCCATGTGCAGGTGAGAGGGGCCTGGTTGGAACAGTCCATGTGCAGGTGAGAGGGGCCTGGTTGGAACAGTCCATGTGCAGGTGAGAGGGGAGTGGTTGGAACAGTCCATGTGCAGGTGAGAGGGGAGTGGTTGGAATAGTCCATGTGCAGGTGAGAGGGGAGTGGTTGGAACAGTCCATGTGCAGGTGAGAGGGGAGTGGTTGGAATAGTCCATGTGCAGGTGAGAGGGGAGTGGTTGGAACAGTCCATGTGCAGGTGAGAGGGGCCTGGTTGGAACAGATGGAGGTTCTTTATAAATCCAGACTTTTAAACAAAGCTCTTAGGATTGTTAATGACTCTTCTGGCCACCCTGGGAAAGCCATGTTCCAGCTTCTTCCCTCTGGCAGAAGATATCGCTCTCTGAGATGCAGGACATCTCGTTACGCTAACAGTTTTTATCCACAGGCTGTTATCAGTGTGAACAGAGCACTTTAATGATTTGAGTTAGAACTGTTTTAGTCGATCGATTTCACAGTGACATTTGTTCACTGTTTTATTTGTTTTATTTTTGTCTTTTAATGTTGTTTTATGTCTGTATTTGTCTGTGCACACTGGAGACTTCCAATGTGTTTTTTTTTACTGCAAATGGCAAATAAAATGAATCTGAATCAGAATGTGAGATACAGTTGCTATGGTTACCCCTCTGAGCGGCCATAGCGTCATGCAGAGGTTACTCAGGATGCCCTGCAGGTGACATCATCCTTCTCTCCAGCACAGAGACCTTTGAGACCTCAGAGTCCACAGAGACCTCAGAGACCTCAGAGTCCACAGAGACCTCAGAGACCTCAGAGTCCACAGAGACCACAGAGTCCACAGAGACCTCAGAGACCTCAGAGTCCACAGAGACCTCAGAGACCTCAGAGTCCACAGAGACCTCAGAGACCTCAGAGTCCACAGAGTCCACAGAGACCTCAGAGCCTTCAGAGTCCACAGAGACCTCAGAGACCTCAGAGTCCACAGAGACCTCAGAGACCTCAGAGTCCACAGAGACCTCAGAGACCTCAGAGTCCACAGAGTCCACAGAGACCTCAGAGTCCACAGAGTCCACAGAGACCTCAGAGTCCACAGAGTCCACAGAGACCTCAGAGACCTCAGAGTCCACAGAGTCCACAGAGACCTCAGAGTCCACAGAGTCCACAGAGACCTCAGAGACCTCAGAGACCTCAGAGACCTCAGAGACCTCAGAGTCCACAGAGACCACAGAGACCTCAGAAACCTCAGAGTCCACAGAGTCCACAGAGACCTCAGAGTCCACAGAGACCTCAGAGTCCACAGAGTCCACAGAGTCCACATAGACCTCAGAGACCTCAGAGTCCACAGAGACCTCAGAGACCTCAGAGTCCACAGAGACCTCAGAGACCTCAGAGTCCACAGAGACCTCAGAGACCTCAGAGTCCACAGAGACCTCAGAGACCTCAGAGTCCACAGAGTCCACAGAGACCTCAGAGCCTTCAGAGTCCACAGAGACCTCAGAGACCTCAGAGTCCACAGAGACCTCAGAGACCTCAGAGTCCACAGAGACCTCAGAGACCTCAGAGTCCACAGAGTCCACAGAGACCTCAGAGACCTCAGAGTCCACAGAGTCCACAGAGACCTCAGAGTCCACAGAGTCCACAGAGACCTCAGAGACCTCAGAGTCCACAGAGTCCACAGAGACCTCAGAGTCCACAGAGTCCACAGAGACCTCAGAGACCTCAGAGACCTCAGAGACCTCAGAGACCTCAGAGACCTCAGAGACCACAGAGACCTCAGAAACCTCAGAGTCCACAGAGTCCACAGAGACCTCAGAGTCCACAGAGACCTCAGAGTCCACAGAGTCCACAGAGTCCACATAGACCTCAGAGTCCACAGAGACCTTAGAGACCTCAGAGTCCACAGAGACCTCAGAGACCTCAGAGTCCACAGAGACCTCAGAGTCCACATAGACCTCAGAGTCCACAGAGACCTTAGAGACCTCAGAGTCCACAGAGACCTCAGAGTCCACAAAGACCTCAGAGTCCACAGAGTCCACATAGAGACCTCAGAGTCCACATAGACCTCAGAGTCCACAGAGACCTTAGAGACCTCAGAGTCCACAAAGACCTCAGAGTCCACAGAGTCCACATAGAGACCTCAGAGTCCACATAGAGACCTCAGAGTCCACATAGAGACCTCAGAGTCCACAGAGACCTCAGAGTCCACATAGACCTCAGAGTCCACAGAGACCTCAGAGTCCACAGAGACCTCAGAGTCCACCGAGACCTCAGAGTCCACAGAGTCCACATAGAGACCTCAGAGTCCACAGAGACCTCAGAGTCCACACAGAGACCTCAGAGTCCACAGAGTCCACATAGAGACCTCAGAGTCCACAGAGACCACAGAGTCCACATAGACCTCAGAGTCCACAGAGACCACAGAGTCCACATAGACCTCAGAGTCCACAGAGACCTCAGAGTCCACATAGACCTCAGAGTCCACAGAGACCTTAGAGACCTCAGAGTCCACAGAGACCTCAGAGACCTCAGAGTCCACACAGAGACTTCAGAGACCTCAGAGTCCACAGAGACCTTAGAGACCTCAGAGTCCACAGAGACCTCAGAGACCTCAGAGTCCACAGAGACCTCAGAGACCTCAGAGTCCACAGAGACCTCAGAGACCTCAGAGTCCACACAGAGACTTCAGAGACCTCAGAGTCCACAGAGACTTCAGAGACCTCAGAGTCCACAGAGACCTTAGAGACCTCAGAGTCCACAGAGACCTCAGAGACCTCAGAGTCCACACAGAGACTTCAGAGTCCTCACAGAGTCCTCCCCATCACAGAAACACATTTCCTGCTCAGCCTGTGGAGCCGGTTACAGTCTCTTCAGGACGCAAAGTGTCTTGTGTCCATGAAACTGCTTCTACTTCAAAGACGGGACTTTGACCGCAGTCCCAGGGGAACTCTGGCTCTGTGGACTAGGATTCCCTCAGAGCTCCTGGGGATCTCCAAACCTGTGCCCAGACTGGAGCCACGGGACCGACCGGTTCAGGACCAACCAGACCGGCCGCCCCGCCTCCTCATGGGTGCTCCGGCTCCCCTGGGTGCACAATAGGCGACTGGGCGGAAAGTTACACAACAAGTACGACGAAATATCTGCGTTGGATTTGGTTCTTGAGTGAGTTCACTTTGGGATTTCAAAAACTATTCTGCGAGAGGAACAAGAGAAACAGATCAGAGACGCTCTTTCCCTCTGAAAGAAGAGTGGGCGGGGATAGGTGGTAGGTGAAACATGGATTTTCTGAGCACCGAAGCCTCAGATACAGATATCCTGATGAAAGACACTAACTGGGGCTCAGAGGGGTCTCACAGAGGGGTCAACAGAGGGGTCCACAGAGGGGTCCACAGAGGGGTCAACAGAGGGGTCCACAGAGGGGTCCACAGAGGGGTCAACAGAGGGGTCCACAGAGGGGTCCACAGAGGGGTCCCACAGAGGGGTCTCACAGAGGGGTCCACAGAGGGGTCCACAGAGGGGTCCACAGAGGGGTCCACAGAGGGGTCCCACAGAGGGGTCTTAGAGAGGGGTCCACAGAGGGGTCCACAGATGGGTCCAACAGAGGGGTCCAACAGAGGGGTCCACAGATGGGTCCAACAGAGGGGTCCAACAGAGGGGTCCCACAGAGGGGCCGTGATACCTGGACAGAGCAGACTGGGAAACCTGAAGACAAAGGGCCCGCCTCAAGGCCCTTTACCAGAGAAAAGGAGGGATAAAGGGCTCTCATGTTCCTCTGGTCTTTGTATCAATAACAGGAAAATCACCCGTAGAGCACAGACCTCTGCCAAAACACACAGTTCCTGATGACGGTGATTCGGACCACCTCCAAAAGCTCCCGACAAACGAACACACCCTGGACATGACATTACCCCGTGTTAAGGCAAGGCAAGTTTATATGTATAACACAATCATACACAAGGCACCTCAAAGTGCTTAACAAAACAGGAATAGTGCTTTTCCAGCAGGAGGCCAGTCCCTGTGCTCCTCAGAGTCTCAGCAGGAGGCCAGTCCCTGTGCTCCTCAGAGTCCCAGCAGGAGGCCAGTCCCTGTGCTCCTCAGAGTCACAGCAGGAGGCCAGTCCCTGTGCTCCTCAGAGTCCCAGCAGGAGGCCAGTCCCTGTGCTCCTCAGAGTCCCAGCAGGAGGCCAGTCCCTGTGCTCCTCAGAGTCCCTGCAGGAGGCCAGTCCCTGTGCTCCTCAGAGTCCCAGCAGGAGGCCAGTCCCTGTGCTCCTCAGAGTCCCAGCAGGAGGCCAGTCCCTGTGCTCCCCAGAGTCCCAGCAGGAGTCCAGTCCCTGTGCTCCCCAGAGTCCTCCTTGTAGAGCAGAGGGACTGTCCTGGTTTATTTCTTTATTTTGGGCTGTGAATGTAACTTCTCTGAGCTGGAGCCATGATCTCTCTCTCTCTGTCGTCTCTCTCTCTGGGCCTCTCTCTCTGGGCCTCTCTCTCTGGCTTCTCTCTCTGGCCTCTCTCTATGGCCTCTCTCTCTGGTCTCTCTCTCTGGTCTCTCTCTCTGGTCTCTCCCTCTGGTCTCTCCCTCTGGTCTCTCTCTCTGGTCTCTCTCTCTGGTCTCTCTCTCTCTGGTCTCTCTCTCTGGTCTCTCCCTCTGGTCTCTCCCTCTGGCCTCTCTCTCTGGTCTCTCTCTCTGGTCTCTCTCTCTGGTCTCTCCCTCTGGTCTCTCCCTCTGGCCTCTCTCTCTGGTCTCTCTCTCTGGTCTCTCTCTCTGGTCTCTCCCTCTGGTCTCTCCCTCTGGTCTCTCTCTCTGGTCTCTCTCTCTCTGGTCTCTCTCTCTCTCTGGCGTCTCTCTCTTTCTGGTCTCTCTCTCTGGTCTCTCTCTGGCCTCTCTCTCTGTCGTCTCTCTCTCTGGTCCCTCTCTCTCTAGTCCCCCTCTCTGGCCTCTCTCTCTGGCCTCTTTCTCTGGTCTCTCTCTCTGGTCTCTCTCTCTGGTCTCTCTCTCTGGCCTCTCTCTCTGGCCTCTCTCTCTGGTCCCGCTCTCTGGTCCCTCTCTCTAGTCTCTCTCTCTGGTCTCTCTCTGGTCTCTCTCTCTGGTCTCTCTCTGGTCTCTCTCTGGTCTCTCTCTGGTCTCTCTCTAGTCCCCCTCTCTGGCCTCTCTCTCTGGTCTCTCTCTGGTCTCTCTCTCTGGTCTCTCTCTGGTCTCTCTCTGGTCTCTCTCTGGTCTCTCTCTAGTCCCCCTCTCTGGCCTCTCTCTCTGGTCTCTCTCTCTGGCCTCTCTCTCTGGTCTCTCTCTCTGGTCTCTCTCTGGTCCCTCTCTCTAGTCTCTCTCTCTGGTCTCTCTCTGGTCTCTCTCTCTGGTCTCTCTCTGGTCTCTCTCTGGTCTCTCTCTGGTCTCTCTCTGGTCTCTCTCTGGTCTCTCTCTGGTCTCTCTCTGGTCTCTCTCTGGTCTCTCTCTGGTCTTTGAGACCGTTTGGAACTGTTTAGAGTTTGTGATGTCGCATGATCGGTCCAAACTCGTCTGTGTCTGAATGTTGGAACTCAGACTGTAGAGCTTGTGTTTTATGGATTTACTGTCGTTGTGTGTGTCACAGTTCACACGCTGCAGAGAATGTGTCACGATAACATCAGGTGTGACACACAAGAGGAAGAGATTTATAGATACACACACACACACAGACACACACACACAGACACAGACACACACACACAGACGCATACGCACGCATTCTCTCTGGTCTCTCTCTGGTCTTTCTCCGGCCTCTCTCTCTCTGGTCTCTCTCTCTCTGGTCTCTCTCTCTCTGGTCTCTCTCTCTCTGGTCTCTCTCTCTCTGGTCCCTCTCTCTGGTCTCTCTCTCTGGTCTCTCTCTCTCTGGTCTCTCTCTCTGGTCTCTCTCTCTCTGGTCTCTCTCTCTGGTCTCTCTCTCTGGTCTCTCTCTCTGGTCTCTCTCTTTCTGGTCTCTCTCTCTGGTCTCTCTCTCTGGTCTCTCTCTCTCTGGTCTCTCTCTCTGGTCTCTCTCTCTCTGGTCTCTCTCTCTGGTCTCTCTCTCTCTGGTCTCTCTCTTTCTGGTCTCTCTCTCTGGTCTCTCTCTCTGGTCTCTCTCTCTGGTCTCTCTCTCTGGTCTCTCTCTCTGGTCTCTCTCTCTGGTCTCTCTCTCTCTGGTCTCTCTTTCTGGTCTCTCTTTCTGGTCACTCTCTCCAGTCACTTTCTCTTGTCTCTCTCTCACTCTCTGGTCTCTCTCTTTCTCTAGTCTCTCTCTCTCTGGTTTCTCTCTCTGATTTGAGCATTCGTCATAGCATGTGACCAGATTGAAAACAGAGCATTAAGGCAGAAGGGGCGGGGGGAGCTGCTGTGTGTTGTTTTCTGATATCAGCGTAGATGGAGCAAAGACGAGAGATAACGTCAAGTGAAAGTAAAAACTCCACATGTTTCCTTCAGAGTAAATCACAGCGACAACAGAAAACCAAAGTCAATACGTGAGAAAGACAGGTTTATAACTGAGGGTGACGTGTTTTATTTTTTATTGTTTTATGTTCAGTGTATGTGTGTTTTGTATTGCATTGTGTCGTGTTTTTGTTCTGTCGGTGCACACGGAGTGCCTTTCTTGCGAACGTATTCCAATGTGGTTTTTTAACTGCACATGGCCAAATAAATGAATCTTGAATCTTGATCTTGGTGTGAGGATTATATCAGATCATCTCTGACGGCTCCAGAGAGCAGGCTCTCTCTCTCTCTCTCTCTGGTCTCTCTCTCTGGTCTCTCTCTGGTCTCTCTCTCTGGTCTCTCTCTCTGGTCTCTCTCTGTGGTCTCTCTCTCTGGTCTCTCTCTTGTCTCTCTCTGGTCTCTCTCTCTGGTCTCTCTCTCTGGTCTCTCTCTGTGGTCTCTCTCTCTGGTCTCTCTCTTGTCTCTCTTTGGTCTCTCTCTGGTCTCTCTCTCTCTCTCTGGTCTCTCTCTCTCTCTCTCTCTGGTCTCTCTCTGGTCTCTCTCTCTCTCTCTCTCTGGTCTCTCTCTCTGGTCTCTCTCTGGTCTCTCTCTGGTCTCTCTCTGGTCTCTCTCTCTGGTCTCTCTCTGGTCTCTCTCTGGTCTCTCTCTGGTCTCTCTCTGGTCTCTCTCTCTCTCTCTCTGGTCTCTCTCTGGTCTCTCTCTCTCTCTCTGGTCTCTCTCTCTGGTCTCTCTCTCTCTCTGGTCTCTCTCTGGTCTCTCTCTGGTCTCTCTCTCTCTCTCTCTGGTCTCTCTCTGGTCTCTCTCTCTCTCTCTGGTCTCTCTCTCTGGTCTCTCTCTCTGGTCTCTCTCTGGTCTCTCTCTGGTCTCTCTCTCTCTCTCTGGTCTCTCTCTGGTCTCTCTCTGGTCTCTCTCTCTGGTCTCTCTCTCCGGTCTCTCTCTCCGGTCTCTCTCTCCGGTCTCTCTCTCTGGTCTCTCTCTCTCTGTGCAGGCTCCAGAGTGCAGGCTGTGGATCAGAGACGGTCTCTGGAGACAGGACGCTCTGCTCTGGAGTCAGAGCACTGCACTTAGCGCTGACATCAGGGCTGTGCATTCCACACTGATGCATCCGCCGCAGCAGAAGCATGGAGCGAGAAATGTTAAATCTTTAATGTTCACTCCCTGAAGAAAAGCAATGTACGTTTTTCTATTTTAGGTTTTTTTAAGAGGTAGAAGAAGTGATAATAACACATCATTTGTGGTCTCTCTCTAGCCTCTCTCTCTGGTCTCTCTCTCTGGTCTCTCTCTCTGGTCTCTCTCTGTGGTCTCTCTCTGTGGTCTCTCTCTCTGGTCTCTCTCTTGTCTCTCTCTGGTCTCTCTCTCTGGTCTCTCTCTGGTCTCTCTCTCTGGTCTCTCTCTCTGGTCTCTCTCTGTGGTCTCTCTCTCTGGTCTCTCTCTTGTCTCTCTTTGGTCTCTCTCTGGTCTCTCTCTCTCTCTCTGGTCTCTCTCTGGTCTCTCTCTCTCTCTCTCTCTGGTCTCTCTCTCTGGTCTCTCTCTGGTCTCTCTCTGGTCTCTCTCTGGTCTCTCTCTGGTCTCTCTCTCTCTCTCTCTGGTCTCTCTCTGGTCTCTCTCTCTCTCTCTCTGGTCTCTCTCTCTCTGGTCTCTCTCTCTCTCTCTCTGGTCTCTCTCTGGTCTCTCTCTCTCTGGTCTCTCTCTGGTCTCTCTCTCTCTCTCTGGTCTCTCTCTCTGGTCTCTCTCTCTGGTCTCTCTCTGGTCTCTCTCTGGTCTCTCTCTCTCTCTCTGGTCTCTCTCTGGTCTCTCTCTCTGGTCTCTCTCTCCGGTCTCTCTCTCCGGTCTCTCTCTCCGGTCTCTCTCTCTGGTCTCTCTCTCTCTGTGCAGGCTCCAGAGTGCAGGCTGTGGATCAGAGACGGTCTCTGGAGACAGGACGCTCTGCTCTGGAGTCAGAGCACTGCACTTAGCGCTGACATCAGGGCTGTGCATTCCACACTGATGCATCCGCCGCAGCAGAAGCATGGAGCGAGAAATGTTAAATCTTTAATGTTCACTCCCTGAAGAAAAGCAATGTACGTTTTTCTATTTTAGGTTTTTTTAAGAGGTAGAAGAAGTGATAATAACACATCATTTGTGGTCTCTCTCTAGCCTCTCTCTCTGGTCTCTCTCTCTGGTCTCTCTCTCTGGTCTCTCTCTGTGGTCTCTCTCTGTGGTCTCTCTCTCTGGTCTCTCTGTCTGGTCTCTCTCTCTCTGGTCTCTCTCTCTGGCCTCTCTCTCTGGCCTCTCTCTCTGGCCTCTCTCTCTGGTCTCTCCCTCTGGTCTCTCCCTCTGGTCTCTCTCTCTGGTCTCTCTCTCTGGTCTCTCTCTCTGGTCTCTCTCTCTCTGGTCTCTCTCTCTCTCTCTCTCTGGTCTCTCTCTGGTCTCTCTCTCTCTGGCCTCTCTCTGGTCTCTCCCTCTGGTCTCTCTCTCTGGTCTCTCTCTCTCTGGTCTCTCTCTCTGGTCTCTCTCTCTCTGGTCTCTCTCTCTGGCCTCTCTCTCTAGTCCCCCTCTCTGGTCTCTCTTTCTGGTCTCTCTCTATGGTCTCTCTCTCTCTGGCCTCTCTCTCTGGCCTCTCTCTCTGGTCTCTCTCTCTGGTCTCTCCCTCTGGTCTCTCTCTAGTCTCTCTCTGGTCTCTCTCTCTGGTCTCTCTCTCTCTGGCCTCTCTCTCTGGTCTCTCTCTCTCTCTGGCGTCTCTCTCTCTGGCCTCTCTCTCTGGCATCTCTCTCTCTGGTCCCTCTCTCTCTAGTCCCCCTCTCTGGTCTCTCTTTCTGGTCTCTCTCTATGGTCTCTCTCTCTCTGGTCTCTCTCTCTCTGGTCTCTCTCTCTCTCTGGTCTCTCTCTCTGGTGTCTCTCAACCTCACTCAGTAGTAGTAGTAAGTAGTAAGTAATCTTTATTTATATACCGCCTTTTCACTGCAGATCTGAGTCTCAAAGCGGTTTACAATTGTTAATTTTGGGCATTTGTCTCTCACTCCACACAGAGATGGGAGCGGGGTCGCCAGAACAGGAGGCACATGCCAGACATGCCTATTGGACATATTTTTAGTGGTAGGGGAAACCGGAGTACCCGGAGGAAACCTACGCAGACACGGGGAGAACATGCAAACTCCACTCAGAAAGGCCCTGGTCCGACCTGGATTCGAACCCAGGACCTTCTTGCTGAGAGGCGAGAGTGCTATCCACTCAGCCAATCAGTTCTCCTCTGATTCTTCTCAAACAGTGACTCACAGAGCTCTTTCTTACGATAATAATAATACTAACAACAACAATAATAATAATAATAATAAAAACATTTTCTCTCTCTCACTCACCCAGCGTCTTCACAGCGATCTGGCGCGTGAGCGGAGGCGGCAGGTTGATGCAGACCAGGTCGACGTCAGGGTGGAGCAGGACGTCGTCGATGCGGCTGGTGTAGAAGGCCACGCCCATCTCCGTGGCCAGCTCCTCCGCCTCCTCTTGGCTCCGCCCCCACAGCGCCCGGACGCTGAAGCCCTCCTTCTGCAGCAGCGGCACCATGATGCGCGCCGTGAGGCTGGTGCCGAACACGCCCACGCCCGGAAGCATGGTCCCAGGGGGCGGGGCTTACAGGGGGCGGGGCTCACAGGGGGCGGGGCTTCGGAAGCATTGCATTGGGGGGCAATTTTCAAGTGGCAATAAGAGGGAAAAATAGGTGGTTTGAGTCCAGGCGATGAATCCAATGAGGTTTGACTCACTTTAAGGTCATTTCAGACTAAATTAAAGTTGGGTCGAGGTTATCCAAGACGAACCAAACGCCAAGATGTCGCAGAGCCCAGTCCAGAAGATCAATCCAATGGACGAAGTTGATGTGCCAGTTTTTTAAGCAGCAAATTTCCGATAAAATTAAGGGAATATTTTCAGCATTGGACACTTTAGATTGGGGTAATCTCAGGGAAATTGTCAGTCTTGTAGAAAGCTCGCTGATCCCAGTCCAGGAAATATATCCAATGAGAGAAAGTTTACTTCTAAGTCTTTCTCGAACGTTTTCTTATTCTGCAAAAAGAAAGACACATGTTAAATCTTAGAGTTCATTTGGGATCATTTCAGACAAAAACAGAAAGAGGAGAGGCCAGCAGATGGTTCAAAAGTCCAGGTGCTAATACTGACACTAAGCACTTTGTGAATGAAAAGCACTTTGTAGATAAAACGTGATCGCTTGATTGAGATGTGGCACAGGTGACTGGGCGTACGTACAACAACAACTTCAGGCTGAGAATCCTTCAGACCAAAAGAAGGAGAAATGATAGTTGCAAAGGGACAGACATCTTCCAGTAATTTTCTGAAAAGTTTCTGTAAACATGTATATTAGTAAAAGTTACGCTAAGGAAGTTTGGAAACATTCTACATTTGGGAAGTTACTGTGGGAATCATGAGGCTGTATGGGAACTCCCTGGACATGAATTGTAATATCATCAATTTGCATCATACCCAAATATAAACAGAGGGGAAAGATTAGGGAAAAAATTAGGGAGATGTGCAACCAGCAAAATGTCCAAAACGACTCAGAGCTCAGCGGACTGTGGTTCTCTCCTGATGTGTTGAGTTCTCTTCCACCAAAAGGAGAATAAATGACAAACAAGCCTCAACTTAAACACTTCATCCATATTTACAAGCATATATACCATTAACGCATTTATACCTGTGGCTGGGTACATCTGTTGGACCATTAGTATTATTTATTAATTTATTATTGTCTCATTATGCATTTATTATTGTACCATTTCTTTATATAACTGCAAATTTCTAATATAACTGCAAGTCATCCCTTGTCTTATCTACCAATAGATTAAAATTTACCATCAATTATCCAGTATTATGCTTAATACCAGTCCTTTTTTTATTATTATTCTTATATTCTACATATTTATCAATGTTGCACAATGTACTGTTCCGCACACACACATACACGTGGTTTTATTCCTTAAATTTAAAATATGTATCTCTCTACATATTCTTGTTGTTTGTGCAAAATCAAATCAAGTAAAAAAATAAAATAAAAATAAAAGGATATGAATGGCAAGGCAGCAGTCTCTCATACTAAACACATGGAGTTATCTACATTTATGTCACAAATGAAGTCTACTGGAATCTACCCAGCGACAGAGAAGACACTACAGCTGATCCTGTGTCAAGTTATTCTTCAAAAAAATGGTTCAAAAGCAAAACAAAAAGTCAATATTGAAAGAGAGATGTGAAAATGTGAAGGAAAACCTCGCAAGAATGTTGTCTAACTTTGTAAAAGGAAGCAACAACTTGCCAAAGTTATGCAATACCAGATGATAATGACATATATTGATACTGAAATGATAGTAAAAGAAAAATAAAACATTGTAATTAATGAGATATGAGTAATTTACAATCACAAATAGATTATATGTCATGGAGCTGGAGATCAGGTGCAGTGACACATGACCCACAGTTTAATTATATTTATGTTTTAGGCTCGTTTCAGCGTAAATAGTAATAATTCTGTCATAGCTCATGGGTGAAATCACTCAGGGAGACTTGGCCCGCCATGGCCCATCATGGCTCACTACAGACCTCTGCTCACGGCCAGTCTCAATGAGCAGAGCAATGAGAGAAGAGTCTGAGCTCGTACCTCTTCTACAGGATCAGGGGTTTATGGTCTGGACCGTCTGGACTCACAGCTGGACCCGGGGGGAGGAGGGCGCGCTGGGGTCTGCCTGGGTCTGCCTCTGCACCTGCTACAACCGCTGCATCCTGGCCCCAGAACCGGCCCCGAGGAGCTGCACAGGGGGCACCGCTGGAAGGGATCGGATCAGCCAGAGCCCGAACAGACCTCAGTGCAGACCTCAGTCCAGATTCAGTCCAGAGTACGGATCAGAGCACGGTCCAGACGCGACATCGATCCGCGCGTCGCCTGCGTCATGGCCCGTGAGAGGACGGCCACAGGACAGGGCGGAGGCGGGGGTCCGTGTGGCTCCTTCAGCAGGATCAGAAGTACTTGTAGTAGTACTAATAGCAGCAGTAATGGCAGTAGTAGCAGCAGCAGTAGTAGTAGTAGTAGTAGTAGTAGTAGTAGTAGTAGTAGTAGTAGTAGTAGTGGTGGTGCAGACTCTGGTTACCGCTCCGCAGCCGTCAAGCGTGCGTGCGTCAGGCGGAAACACGAGCGGCCCTTCAAAATAAAAGCACGTGTTTTTTTTATATTTGTAATAATAAGTCATCTTTATTTGTATAGCACATTTCACACACTAAAGTCACACAAAGAGCTTTGCGGAACTTGTTATTCTCGTGATTTCCATTTACGCCACACACAAACAAAGAACAAAGCTTTCAATCATTATTATTAGATTTAATGATTGTTTTTTTGTTTTGTTTTTTCAAAAGTGGAGAGGGCAGTTCTTTACTAACATTTGGGCAAATCCTCCTACATACCTTTTTACGGGACTAGCTATAGTAGGGTTGCCAGATAAAAAAAAATAAAAAAATAAGGTATATGTGGAGTGCCATGGAGAGTAAATTTAATCTTCGAGTCTGGTGCTCTCTCTTGTACTGGTCCTAGAGGTCTCTCTGATGGTGCTCTCTCTTGTATTGGTCCTAGAGGTCTCTCTGATGGTGCTCTCTCTTGTACTGGTCCTAGAGGTCTCTGATGGTGCTCTCTCTTGTACTGGTCCTAGAGGTCTCTGATGGTGCTCTCTCTTGTACTGGTCCTAGAGGTCTCTCTGATGGTGCTCTCTCTTGTACTGGTCCTAGAGGTCTCTCTGATGGTGCTCTCTCTTGTACTGGTCCTAGAGGTCTCTCTGATGGTGCTCTCTCTTGTACTGGTCCTAGAGGTCTCTCTGATGGTGCTCTCTCTTGCACTGGTCCTAGAGGTCTCTGATGGTGCTCTCTCTTGTACTGGTCCTAGAGGTCTCTGATGGTGCTCTCTCTTGTACTGGTCCTAGAGGTCTCTGATGGTGCTCTCTCTTGTACTGGTCCTAGAGGTCTCTCTGATGGTGCTCTCTCTTGTACTGGTCCTAGAGGTCTCTCTGATGGTGCTCTCTCTTGCACTGGTCCTAGAGGTCTCTGATGGTGCTCTCTCTTGTACTGGTCCTAGAGGTCTCTCTGATGGTGCTCTCTCTTGTACTGGTCCTAGAGGTCTCTCTGATGGTGCTCTCTCTTGTACTGGTCCTAGAGGTCTCTCTGATGGTGCTCTCTCTTGCACTGGTCCTAGAGGTCTCTGATGGTGCTCTCTCTTGTACTGGTCCTAGAGGTCTCTGATGGTGCTCTCTCTTGTACTGGTCCTAGAGGTCTCTCTGATGGTGCTCTCTCTTGTACTGGTCCTAGAGGTCTCTCTGATGGTGCTCTCTCTTGCACTGGTCCTAGAGGTCTCTGATGGTGCTCTCTCTTGCACTGGTCCTAGAGGTCTCTGATGGTGCTCTCTCTTGTACTGGTCCTAGAGGTCTCTCGGATGGTGGTCTCTCTTGAACTGGTCCTAGAGGTCTCTCTGATGGTGCTCTCTCTTGTCCTGGTCCTAGAGGTCTCTCTGATGGTGCTCTCTCTTAAACTGGTCCTAGAGGTCTCTGATGGTACTCTCTCTTAAACTGGTCCTAGAGGTCTCTCTGATGGTGCTCTCTCTTGTTCTGGTCCTAGAGGTCTCTCTGATGGTACTATCTCTTAAACTGGTCCTAGAGGTCTCTCTGATGGTGCTCTCTCTTGTCCTGGTCCTAGAGGTCTTTCTGATGGTGCTCTCTCTTGTACTGGTCCTAGAGGTCTCTGATGATGCTCTCTCTTGTACTGGTCCTAGAGGTCTCTCTGATGGTGCTCTCTCTTATACTGGTCCTAGAGGTCTCTCTGATGGTGCTCTCTCTTGTACTGGTCCTAGAGGTCTCTCTGATGGTGCTCTCTCTTGTACTGGTCCTAGAGGTCTTTCTGATGGTGCTCTCTCTTGTACTGGTCCTAAAGGTCTCTCTGATGGTGCTCTCTCTTGTACTGGTCCTAGAGGTCTCTCTGATGGTGCTCTCTCTTGCACTGGTCCTAGAGGTCTCTCTGATGGTGCTCTCTCTTGTCCTGGTCCTAGAGCTCTCTCTGATGGTGCTCTCTCTTGCACTGGTCCTAGAGGTCTCTCTGATGGTGCTCTCTCTTGTACTGGTCCTAGAGGTCTCTCTGATGGTGCTCTCTCTTGTCCTGGTCCTAGGGGTCTCTCTGATGGTGCTCTCTCTTACACTGGTCCTAGAGGTCTCTCTGATGATGCTCTCTCTTGCACTGGTCCTAGAGGTCTCTCTGATGGTGCTCTCTCTTGTACTGGTCCTAGAGGTCTCTCTGATGGTGCTCTCTCTTGTCCTGGTCCTAGAGGTCTCTCTGATGGTGCTCTCTCTTGAACTGGTCCTAGAGGTCTCTCCGATGGTGCTCTCTCTTGTACTGGTCCTAGAGGTCTCTCTGATGGTGCTCTCTCTTGTACTGGTCCTAGAGGTCTCTCTGATGGTGCTCTCTCTTGTACTGGTCCTAGAGGTCTCTCTGATGGTGCTCTCTCTTGTTCTGGTCCTAGAGGTCTCTCTGATGGTGCTCTCTCTTGTACTGGTCCTAGAGGTCTCTCTGATGGTGCT